CCCCCCCCCCTCCAATCGCAGCCTCTCTTTTTATTGCGATGCGTGTCAAATGCTATTTGCCTGCAGGCTGCACTTTGTACACCCCTGCTTTAGTGGCTTTTGATGAACAAATATGGCTCCCGTGGCGAGCCTCAATGAGAAATTCTTGTCAATATGATGCAACCGACCTAAAACCCAATGAAAAATCAGAACCCCAAATGAAAAAGTCATCGTCATCATTGAGAGCCCTTTTGTGATCGTGCTCTCGTCCTGAAAACGGTCATGTGTGCCTTGTGCAGCGGCCGACGGTGCGACCACGCTAAACGAGTGCGCAAATGCAGATGAACGTTTTAGATTCTCATCTGACGGACGTCCCGCTTATGCGGCGACTCAAGCAGTTAATGTCGCCTTTAATGGTGTCATTGAACAGTACAAGCTGCCAGGATGCCTCCCACACTTTACTTTTGGGTCTCGTTTGGAGTGGCAAACGGGTGCTGCTTCCTGCCAGTGAGAGGGTGCGGCTATACAGCGCGATAGTCACGGTTTGTGAACTGCGTTTATAATAATAATAATAATGAGAAGAAGAACGACTGGCAATGACATTCAGATGCAGGGCACGAACTTGCAATTTTGCTCCTGTTTGCAAAGTTTCACTTTGAGGTTATTTGTTATCTTTCACACGGCTTAGCTTGTCAAGTTTTGAATCTGACCCTTTGTCATGAACTTTCCGACCCGGCACGCCGGGAAAAAAACTCAGGCGTGGCTAATATCTGGACACACAGCAGAGACGGTCAATATGCAGCGCAACTTTGACTGCGTGGGGTGTCACGGTTCAGCGGCGCGGGATGAGGAGAGAGGAAAGGGGGAAAACAGCCAACCTTGCTGACTTTGTGCGTCATAAACTCGCAGGCCAAATAATGGCGGTCTCTCACTTCGCAGCACATTGACATCTCCTGTGGATAAGTCCAGCTGGAAGACCGAGGCGTTCATGTACTCCGTCCAAAAGATGAAATTGCGATAATGGGATATTCCGAAAGGGTGGTTGAGCTCTTTCCCATTGTACACCACCTGCAATGGAAAGTAGATCCATGCCGTAAAGAGTGCATATTTGACGGGTCGAGTAAATACTCACCATTCGCCCAGTGCCGTTGAGGTAGATCTTTTCAATGTGATCATAGTAGGCGTCGCACCAGTACATGCTCCCGGAACTGTGGTCCAGGGTCAGGCCGTTGGGCCACAGCATGTTTGTAGTGACAAAAAGGCGGCGGTGTGAACCGTCCATCCAGGCTTTCTCGATCCTGCCAATGCTGTCGTTGACCTCATCTTCTTCCCAGTCCGTCCAGTACATCCAGCTAGCGCGGTTGCAAAAGCACAATCAACCAATAGCGCTCACGATGACCGCATACGTTTACGTGTACGGCCTGCCTCGACCATCTGGGGGCAGTACGAGACATGCGGACATACTGGACTGGAGTCTCGGCTTCTCATGAGGGCAGAAATATTATTTGTGCTTCAAAGAGGATAAAGAATACATGCTTGAGA